GGAAAGAGAGCTCACCCTGTTATTCCCTCTAAATGCTGTCTGGACCCAGGCGGGCTGTGCAGCATCTTGTGAAGAGCCAAAAGTGTTATCATTATCAGTAGTGTGAATGCTGGGTCAAACCAGACCCTCATGAAACATTGGTGACTGATGGATTGTAACCTCTGGATCCAGCACACAGCACATGTTTTTTTCTGTCTAAACACAGCGTTTTGAGGTTTTGTGAGTAGGCTTCACATGCAAACTTTCTCTCCATAGAGCATACCAGGTTCATCAGTTACCCAGCTAAAGAAACCTTCTTAGTGTCAGACCTACAGGGTGCCAGATTTGCCCTAGGCAGATAGGAAGGGCCACACCTTTGGGCACTGATGTTCCCCTGTCTGGTATTCCATGGTACCAACCCAGCAAGCACCGACCACCAAAAATGACCAAAGCAGATCCTTAGAGCCATATATGAAATATATGGAAATGGTTTCTGCCTTCAAACCAGTGTCCACAAGCATTCAACGTAAGAAATGACAAGTGTGAAGGGCCACTGGCCTGAATAGGCCTCCAGTGAATTACCTGGAGTGACAATGTGGAGCATCTCTTGGTGCTGCTGAGTTTACTATGGGGAAGAAGAGGACATTTATCTCTTGCGATGCTAAGCCAGACCTCCAGATTGGCATATGGCCCTTTCTGGAGGTACCCACATGCTGCCTGGAAGCCATCAGGACGCTCTATAGCTCCTATCCCAGCATGATCCCCCTCTTCTCACAGGCAATCTTGCATTTCCCTCCCCATCCCAGCCGTGCTGTCTCAACCTCTGCCCTTCTCTTGCAGTGTCACCTGGAGCTGAAGGGACCATCCCTTTGCTTTCTGTTAAAGACACCTAAAAAGACATCTTCGTATGTCTCATCCATCCCTTTCTGCTGTTGCTAAAGGGCTCCAAGTCTTTCCTTGGTACCACAATCTTTGAAAACACTCTCAGCATGATTTGCCTGTGGGAACAAAGCAAATATCGTCAGTCTATCTATACATCTATATCTTTGGGCTTTTGCCATCTTCCCTACAAAATTCTAAGCCAAATTTCACAGAAATCAACAGCCAGGAAGAGCCTGTAAGTGTCTCAGCCCAAACATCCCAACTACAGGAAAAAGCAGCATGTAGGTCCCAGAGAAACCAGGCAGAAGGGAAAACTCAACAGTGAAGACAATATCACTTGGGACACCATGGAGGGGAAATACCCCTTATTAAATTCCAGATGAATTAGGAACCACTTGTTCGGTTAAATCCCACAATGTGGAAGGCACATGTGCCTCCGCTGGCTGGAGAAAATGCCTTGAGATTAAAAAAATAAATCCTCTAAACAAGAATTTACTAAACAAATGAAATTAAGCCTGATCAGAAGAAACAGAGACCTCCCCCATGCCTACCCCTTGGAAATAATACAGAACACATTTCACTGACTGTAGCTGAATGCTCTGCAGGAGGTACAGGGAAATACCATGCTGGGATATATTCCCTTGCCATCAGGATACCACAGCAAGATGGGACTGGGGAAGCTGGGCTGGAGTCTCTGTTGTACTGGTCACACATCCCATTTCAATTACTGGCACCATTCGGTAGCCTGGCTCACTCTCACATCAGGCAATGGGGCACTCGGCAGATTTAGAAATTGGAAACACGGCGGTGAAGAGGTGGTAAGTCCCAAGACTACAGAGGGACAGCTATGCAGGGAGCATTACTTGATGTTTCCTCATGTGATTGCAGCATTTTGTGCTTCCTGGTGTTGTGCTCTCGGTGAGGGACATCTAACGACCGCAGTCGGGTGCTTTTCACCAGATGAGGATGTGGTTATGGTATGCACCTACTCTATTCATCCAGCCTTTAGCAAGGCAATGTGGACACACTTGGTAGAAGCAGAAGTAAGAACTTTTCTAACTCAGATACAAATGCTTGTCCCATTCTTGCAAGATGCTTCAAGTCCAGAAGGTCACTGTCTTTCAGTTCCCAGCAGCCACCACCCACAAAGCTCCATGGGTCTTAAAAATGACAGCAACTGGCAGATCAGAAGAGTAGGGAGTAAAATACGCAGTAGATCCTGGCTTGCCTGGGAAGTAGCTTCATGAGTTCATTGAACACAAAGAAACAACTTCTAAACATCTCCAGCCAGATAAGGACCAATTACCAAGATCACCAAATTCACCCCGAATTTTAGTGAGAGCTCTGATGGTTTGACCTTATCCATCAAGATGTCAAAAGGAACGGTGGCTGAAGGAAACCCTGTTTCCAACATGAGCAGATGTTGAAACGAATGTAGCATGCCTAGTCACTCAAAAATGGACCTGTCAGCTTAAAATTAACTATCAGCAGTCCAAGCCTGGAAGGCAGCAGGATGCACTGCCGAGTTGCCTCAGACACAAGCCATGTGTAATTTGATCATATTTTTCTTTATTTAGAGCAGACTTTTTAAAAATTCTGTGTCTCAGCTGAATTTTAAGTAAGTTCCAGAAGTTTATGCCATTTTGAGAACAGGCGTAGAAGAAATGAGCATCTTTTTCATCTGAAGGGGGACAGGGAACAGAACCCTCTGCCCTTCAGAGGTGTTGCGTCAGGAGTCACTGGGCTAAACACAATCCCACAAATTGGTAATTAGCATCCTTGCAATTAGTATCCTTGCTGGCATGGACAATACCCATTGAACTCCACTCAGTCACAGATTTACCTGGAAAGCCCTGGAGCAGGCTTTACCCCAACCACTACTGATGGCCAGCATGGCAAACACAACACGCGACACAGTGGCACCACTGTCTCGCTGTCCCATCCCTGCTCCCTCTGGGCTTTTACTGACCACAGGCTTGTGTCACAGTAGGAAGCATCAAGTCCTTTCCACTAAAGCTGGCAGGGTGGGTTAGGCTGGGCTAAACCATCCATGAATCGTCAGTATGGCATCTTGCTTGGAGATGTCTAACCTGGTGGCAATGACAAGAAAGCAGGATAACAAAGGCAGACTTCATGTCTTCCGCAGGAAGCTCCTTGCTTTTGTAGTGGGAGTGTTCAAGAGCTGTGTCTGCAGGACAGCGGTTTCCACAGGGGGTCATGAGACTGGAAGCACAAATGGATGTGGGATCGCGAACCTAGAAGTGGGATCACAGAGGGAAAAGTGTGGGCAGCAGGAGCCTACAAGGGCCTTGCAGGAGTAAGCAAGTGTACAGGGCAGCGCTGTGCATCTGAAGTCCCTTGTATTCTAGAAAGCAGGCAAAGACCTACCTAAAAATCATCATCATAGTTTTTTTTCTCAGAGGAGAGTACTACAATTTACATGGCAAGAAAACACAAAGCTTTTAGTGCATCCCACGAGCAACTCCAATACTCATACCTCTGCAAAGTGAGCAAAGAGGAGCCTTCAGTGCTCAGCCTGCCGAGGTGTAACTAGAGAAAGGATGCCCAAGTGGTCGGATAACCAGGCTGGGTAGCTCTGCTCAGCACTAGTCATGTTTTGCAGGAGCAAAAGGGAGCCCCAAAGCACAGCAGATTCCTGTCATAGCTGCATTCACTCAGGATGTCTCTCAGAAGGAGCAAATCCTCATCTTTCACCTGGGCTGGCATTTCTATTTCACGCTTACACATACACACCTGCAACCCGATGATCCTGTGGAAGCACTTAAAGGTAACAGTAAACTCAAAGTGATTGATCTACAGATAATTTACCTTAGCAAGGAGGGCTACAAGTCAGCTATCAAGTGGACTGACAGACACTCCACTCCCATACGCGGGAGTGAATAGCTTCCCAGGATACTGGCATGTCTACAGCATCAAGAAACGACATTATTAGGAGCAAAGGTAATGGTGCCTTAACATAGAGATTGATGAGGACGTGCTCTAAAAGGACCCCAAAGCCTTTCAGGCAAACTAATGTTCCCTCCAACCTGCATGTGGTCAAATGCCACTTTATTCTGGATCATATTGTCAGAATTAAAAGAAGTTGAGAGGGAAAAGAATAAATGGCTTCTTGCCTTCTTGTCGATGTTTCTTTAACAGAGAAAGGGTGTCCTCTATTATCAGCCCTTCTTGGGGTCACTGCATAGATCTTGCTGTTGCTCTACCACGTGAAGAACAGGTTGTGGCCGTGCTACAGGGAATTAAACAGACAGTAGAGGTGAAAAGAGGGATAAAAGCCATTTATGTCATGAAACGCCATCAGGCTGAGACTGCTACTTTGGAAGAGAAAGAAATGGAGACAGGATAAAACTGGGTGTCACATATCAAACTCTTCACATGGTCAAGAGCCATTTGGCCACATACCTTGCATGGCTGAAGGGTGGGAGATGGCACCATCTTCCCTGGCCTCCCACCACTCCTCCGTAGGGCACAGGCAGGCTGGGCATGCCGAACGGCTCCAGGGCAGACTGGTGGGCTTGGCTTGCTCCTCCCCACAGCTGGGGACCCTGCTTACTTGTCAGCCCCTGTGCTATCGCAGCCTAGATGACAGCCACCTAACACAACGCTAGTACAGGACCCCAACTGCAAGCCAGGTGCAGCTGAGAGCTGCATATAGATTGTGATGCTGAGTTACACGAATAGAAAGAATAGCCAGCAATCATTAAAAATAATTAAAGCCACTTTTATACATGAGATTTTAAGCCTCCACTTCAGATTTTATCTGCCCTGTAAATATTAGGGTGCAGGATTAGATCTAATGCAGGAGGGCAAATTATCCCTAAATGTGCATCATATCCAGCGAACATCTCCTGAATCCAAGCTTCCCAAAGAATATTTAGGGGACCTCACAGATCTCTCCTTTTTTGCCCTTTTCCAAGTATTTTTTGCTAAAAGTGGGATTTACCAAACTGAAAATTCATTAGAAAGTCACAGTATAAAACTCCAGCACAGGGACAATAACAAGATACAGAATAGCCCTCACTTTCCCCCTTTGCAATATTTTTTGCAATAGTCTGAATCACAATGAAAGTCACGTTATCTCATCTCCTCACTTCGGACCGCGACCCACAGTGACTTCAATATAGCTCTTCCATTTTCACTTACCTTGTCCATAAGAGACAAAATGAAAGGGGAGCATCTGAGATTCGGCAACCCACGCACCTGTAACGTATTTCAGACTGCTTCTTCCTCTGAAGCGTCGCCAAAGACTGAGACGGAGCTTGAAAAGGGAAGATGAAAACTCCAGCCTCTCTGGAGGACACACTGAAAATCCTGCAGACTCTGGGAAAACTAAGATAGCTGAGAGTCAACCCTGCTGACTCTCATTCTGCCAGAGAGCTGCAGCTGGTGACAGTGAAATATTTATGCAAAGACAGCAGATGTTGCAAGCAAAGTATGAAGAAAGACATGAGAGCTGCAGTATTAGGTCGGGGCATCCAGTGCAGTGTTTGCTTCCTCCAATGGCCAACATCAGATGGTTAACAAGAGTGTAAGAGCAGGACAAGCACATGGAGATGCCTCCATCTTTCCAGCCTCCAGTGACCTATAGGCTTAGGGACCTTCTGAGGGACAGATTGCATCTTGGAAATGTCTTTGCATTCAATACTCTCTACAAAATTTCCTTCTATGAATCTTCTTACTTTGGAAACCATTAAAATTTTTAGCACTCCCAATGTCCCAATGAGTTCCACAGGTTTACTACATGCTGCATGAAAATGTTATGTCCTTTCATTAGTTTTCAACCTCCATCCTGCCTATTTCCTTTGCTGTCACTCCATTCTTGCATAAGAAGAAACACAAAAGTGTTTAAAATCTGGAAGAAATGTTGACTATTTCTTCCATATCTCGACTGCCATCTCTAAGACTTGGGAACATTTGACTCTACATCAACGGCAAGATCAGAAATGACATTTAAGCACCAACAGTGCAACCTGGATAGTACTGAAGTGCCTGTGCTCATGGAGAGACTAACGAAACCTGGGACATCCACACAAGCATCTCTTAACACAGAGGGCAGCTCAGTTCAACCCAGACCCTGATCCACCAATAAATGCAAATGAAATGTTGGCCCAGCAATAAATACAAATACTTAGAGCCCCTGGAAATCCCCAGTGTCTGCCTGGCATCAGCCCCTTCTCAGAGACCTTGCAGCTAATCAAAGTCTACAAGAGCACAGTGTGGCTGGTGCCCCAAGCTTAGCTGCCTCCTCTATGGGTCAGAGATGATGGCTAGGGCTCGAGTCTTCAGATGGTCAGCAAATAGGTTTCGCTTGGGGTTGAACCACAGGGAAGCTTTGCCATCAACCCAGGAGACAAGGAGCAGACTGTAATTCGTGTACAACCGGAGAGGAGACTAAGTGCCCTGTGCTAGGAGCAAGCACAGCCCTGCTGAGAAACCCCCACCAACTTTCCCACTGCCTTCAAACCATTCTCCCCATTCTCCACCCCTCATCCCGAGGCAAAGAAGGATCATCCATAGTCCATCCACTCTCACCAGCGCAAAAGCCTACCGTAACTGACCTGTACAAAAAAGGAAATAAATCTCAAATCGTTCATTTCAGTGAAAAAAGGGATGAGGGAGCTGCTGTACTGCTAGCTGAAAGGTTAAATGTGGTGCTACCCAGGGATGGCTCCTTTCCTAGCTCATCTCCCAGCTGCTGGGCTCTGGCCTGTTTAATGAAGATTGATTGCCTTCAGGAGGCCACCTCTGTCTAGACTGCCTATGGCCCCTTTTTATTACCCCCACCCACGCAAGTGAA